ACAAACATAACCAGCAAGAAATGATGAGCAGAAACATACTTCATCAATTCAAATTCACCATCGGGAGGCACGAAACTGACTGTCTTTTCTGAGTTGAACCTTGTCAAGTTTACACATTGGTGAAAAGTGACATCATCAAGTTCTATGGTCTTGCCACTACGAAAGCAACAAAATGTTGTTAGATCTAGTCATTCATGAATAACTCCCAAATACATGAGTTTTTTTTTTTAATGTCTTGATATTTTATGATTTTTGTTTTTTATTTCATTTTAAAAATATCCTCTCAATCGATATTATTGTTTTTTTATGTTTTTTATTTCATTTTAAAAATATCCTCTCAATCAATCTTGATCCCTTTAAAGGGACCATTCCTATCAATTTTTATTGTTTGTAGTCCCTAACCAATATTGTTGTTTCAGTTTGTTCCGAGCTTAGCAGTAGGTAGTAGGCCCATTTTTGGTCATTTATTGCATGGAGACAAAACTATCCAAAATGGAGCTTTCAGCCCACACTATGCAGCGAAATTTGGCGTGCAGAGTTGTGATGACAGTGGCAGTTGCTACCTCAGTTCTAATGTGAAGGCACATTGGCAACATGATTGCTGACTGTGTAGCTTCACTTTGTAACCACCTCGATGGCATTTTGGCATCCAGAACTTGGATAAGTCTAATGGCTACGCATCTACCTTTAGACAGTTTCCTGAAGACATTCTATAGTATAAAATTTTAATATTTGATAGATATTTTAGTGAAGCTTGTTCATAATTTATAAGCAATCCAACAATAATATCTTTGAGGTACGATCAAAATTAATTTCTCCATGAAGTAACAGATCTCGCTTACCTTTTTATAGGTCTGGATTTGAGTTGTGACTCGTTTTCAAGACCAATCTTATCATTTAATCCTAGCTTTAAATCAGGCATCCCAGAAAGGAAGCACTTCATGAGAATCTTTCCCGTCACATCACAACGTAGAACACTCCCTATAAATAGAAAATAATGGAGTAATGAAGAGCTTTTTAGGCTCATATACCAAGTTGAACATAACAAACCTTTCGAAGACATAAGAAGATTAACACTTTCAACAATGTCCAGGAAGACCTGAAACACACTAGTTTAGAGCCAGAGTTTCTCATACAAAGATACAGTTATGAAAAGGTAAGGCACCTCATTCTTTTTGTATAGGAGTCCCTCACGTCTCCAACCAACAGCACCTGTAACTTGAAGAGTTGCATTGGGGACAGGCTTGTCTGAGGGCTAATATTGCAGAAATAAAATTAAAAAGAAATATTGTCAACATTCTATTGATTCAAGCAACAGTTTAACTTTCAAACTGAGATATAAGCCTGTGAATGATGGTTCAAATGGTAATATGCAAACCATTGGATGACTTTATACATTAAGAGAAATAAAACACTTGACACATTACCTTGGAGGAGAATGGCGACCGTACACCTTCCTGAGTGATATAAAGCTTCAAAATCTCAGGTGCAAGATTTTGAGGGTACCCAAAATCCATAATCTCTGCAAATTAAACAAAAGAATACTGTGGTAAAGTATTTATAGAGTCTACTGCAATCCATAATCTCCAATGGTATTTAAAACTTTGATCTTCTTCTTTAGTTAAATCCTATGGAGGCTTCTTCTCTTCCTTGATGCAAAGAAGACAGGAGTTAGGAAGTGTAATCATATCACAATCTTCCATAAAAAAGTCTAAGCTCCAATCTACCTTGAACAATTTTCCTCAATCTTAATAAGAATTGGTGCCACCATCAACGTATCAAATGCAACCATTTCTGTATCTTATCATGTTACACTTACCCTGTATATGAGAACACAACTTATTAGTTCTTACTCTCAAGTTTATACAACCATTACTCTTTTATCAGAAACATCTTCCACAATCTCCTTGAGAATTCTAAAGACAATAACCAGAACTTTAACAAACATCAAGTAATATTGCTTATATCATTCAGGTCATCACCCATAATCAATAACTACCACCAAAAAATCATAATTAACCATGAAAAAATAAGAGTGATATACCGATAAAATTAAGCAATTAACTACTAAGAAATATGAAGTGCAATAATCTAGAGAAAACCCTTCTCCATGGTTAAAATGCATGAACTCATAGACATAAAAGATCCTGTAAAAGATCCTGTTGGTATAGACTAATGGAAACATCATCACATTATGGCAGCATGGTAAGACAACCATGCTTGGCTTAGAAATTTCAATCAACACCACTATAGAAAGTCAATTCAGTATTAATCAAAAATTAAAAAGCATCTTGAAAATCCACGCCAATAAGAATTTTGTCAAATCAGACAAGCAGTACATACCATCAAGAAGCTCATAAATCAGAACAAAATTATTTCTAATGGCATCTTCGTCAAATGCACCACCAAAGTATGATTTAAATAGTGCAACAGCCTGGTAATGGTAAAAGAAGAATAATGTTAGTAATGAATAGGAGTCGAACAAAATATCTTAGACTTCATGGCAAATAATTACAATTAACATTTTTACAGATGTTTATTACCAGGTTCAAAAGTAATATGGAGTTAATCTCATACCATTTACTTGTACTATGTTTAGAACTGAAATTTCGTGATATGGGCATCTAAAATGATGAATTAACAAGTCATTCAAACAGTCTATATTACATATAGCAGGAACACAACTGAATGCTAATTGATGTGATTAATGGTATGTTCTGGAACAGATATATAGATAGTAAAGAAGGAATATCTAATATTGGAAAGAAAAGATCTTTGACAAAATGGCATAGCTATGGGGTTTTGATCACGGTTAGGCATAATTCCTTCATTATTTAGAACCAGTAATTTTCTGGTGAAGAATTCCAAAAAAAATACTATGTCCCTAAAACATGATGGTTATAGTTCCATTATTTATTATTCTTAAAAAAAACTACATTTTATTAATTCATTAGAAAATAGCATGACATATTTCATGATCTTAGCAAGCACTAATCCTACAATAACAACAACCATAATCCATAATACAACTATCTGGGGCCAGGGCTTTGTACAAAGTCATCTATCTCTCTTCTCACCTCTTCTAATTGCAATATTAGTGTCTTAGAATATGCCCATACCATCTTAGATGAATCTATCTCATTTTATCATCTCTCAAAGCTAAGTCTAATTATTCATAAATATAGATATTTTTTATCTCTCTTAGTAGTTTCACATATTCATCGTACTATTCTCATCTTAGCGACATAATCTTTTATATATGTTGTTTCTTGACTGCTCAAAAGTCATGCCTATAAAGCATGATTAGCCTTACATGCCTTTTTCCTACTGCAAACAAGATGGTTAGTTACGCTAGCTTCAAATACTAGTAACAAAATTTCCAATGCTGGGCAAGAAAGATGGATTTGAAGATCTAGGAGAAATAACAAGGCTCCGCTAAGAGAGAGAAGATAGTGTGACATTCCCAGAAATAACAAGGAAACAAACTGCATTGACCAGAATAATACGAAATCTGGAATAAAGAAATAAGGTAGGGAAATTTTAGAGCAATTCCTCCTAAGCTATATAGCAATCAAATAGAACCTTTAAGATGTTCAGGAAAACAGCACCCAAATATTAGCAATACTAGAGCAGCATACCTCGACAACAAACTTGAAAGCACAGGCTACGTTTGCATTTTTGCTAACAACAATCACAATGTACACATTGCTAATTCTCATATAGAGAAAGGAGCAGCCACCAATTTGCCGTACAGGGCATGTACCAAGTTCTTTTGTCTGCATTATATGCATCCGAAATGCATCCACCATATTGCCACTGCATAATGCACCGAATATCAACACACTTTACTTTCAAAAAAGAAAAAAACAGGTAGCAAGTTCCCCTGCAAGATAACATAGAGCAGAAAATAGATAACGAGTAATGTAATTGGATAGTCAAATGATAACTTAATCAGCAATTCTGATAATTGTCAATGCCAAAATATATGCTGAAGGAAGAAACGGTTCACGGCGAAGCAAGATTATTCAGCGTCCATTTCCAGTTGACGCCAGCTCCAAAAAATTGGAACTTTTAATCTTCAAAACATTACAGATAACAGATCACTCAACATGCTAAAAGACCATATTCACACAATCTTCTAATCGCATCTACGTCTCGAATCTACTAATCCTCTTCGCTCAAATTAGACGCAAACAAGATCTTCAGCCGAAAGCAGATAATTCGAGGGGAAAAGAAGCAAAAAAATTTGGCCGAGAAAATCCAAGAAAGGGGCCCGAAATCCACAACGGGCGAAGAAAGGCGCTCACCCCACATCGTCGCGGTAGAGGCGATTGATGAGCACATCGCCTCGGAGATTCAAGAAGTATATAGCTGATGCCGCCACAGGCATCGTTTGAGCAACGGAGGTTCCGGTCCCAGAAGGATCACGGGGGATCGAGATCCGTCGACAAGCCTATCGCCGAACCAAGAAACGAGGAGAAGAGCTCCACCCGTAGGACGCACGCAAAGACTCGGGTCGTCCTCGATCGCGCTTCTCGGTGGTGAGAAGGATCTCAGATCTGAGACACAGCCCGTCCAAGGGAAGAGGAATCGAGATTCTCTGAAGGGGGCTTCGCTTCTTCTGCGGTTAATTTGTGTGTTCGCCGCCACACCACACCACACCACACCACACGAGAATCTCTTCTGTACCACTCTACGAACGATATTTCCTATACACATTATTTGGCTTTAACGCCACGAAGACAGACTTAATTTGTTATTTTCACACCTGCCTCGTCATAGTTAAATGTTTAAGGGAGTCATATGTCGACTCAATTCTCTTCTCTAACGAGAAAGAAGAAGAGGAGAGGCAAAAGAGAAAGATGAGGAGAAGGAAAAATATATACATATTTACTTACGTCTATTTACAAAGACATATTTTAATATGTTTAAAAAATTTAAAATAAAATTATAAATAGTAAAAATTTCCTCAGCAGAGTGACCGACTGAATGACTTTAAATATAAAAGATTGCAAATAGTAATTTGATGGGTTCCTACATACATACCAAACTCGTACAGCATTCGCAGTATATAACTACAGCCAAAATACACGCATTTCTGTTCGTGGAATACATAACTACGTGATGGATTTAATATAAATAGAAAATGGACAATCCGAGGAAAAATGTGACAAGAAGAAGATAGTGCTTCTAAAGCTTACAAGTTGAGAAGTTCAAATCTGTGGTTGAACGGCCACTCTGTTGATAATGCATGCAAACTCAACCATGCGTCAGAGCGCTCAAAGGATTCTGTCTTGGAGGTCGTTAATAAGACTGGAAGCCAGAGACGTCAACTTCTTCCCTGTCTCACCAGCGATGTTCTTGAGGGAGGATATATCCTGTGATGCCTATAGATGCAAGGGGAGGGGCATCTGAAGTTAATCCTTTGGGCAGAAAACATATCTTGGAAAACACTGCCAGTGCATTCTAAATAACAGAGATCCTAAACTAAGAAGAGAAACAGTTTCGAGAATTCTTGTGGTATAGAAGTGCTCTCCCTGTAAGTCTTTTTTTTTTTTAGTGCTCAAATTCTGTGGAGATAATTTTCTAATCCATTTAATCTTGGAAGCTAATTAATCGGGAAATCAAATTACATATAACTCTCAAAGATTGTACCTGGAAAGAGATACGGTTGATGAGGTCAGCAGCAGTCAAGTCTAGCCCAGGGTCTGATGTATCATGACCAAACAGATCGGCACTGGAAATGGCTTTTGAGTCCTATGTAAACAAAGACGAAGGTGAGTGCCTTAAAAGGTCAGCCAACTTCACCAAATTATCAGAAAGGTTTTAGGCATAACCAAGATTGCCTGGGGCAAAGATAAAATGATCAAACAGAATGTTTCCAAGCTGCCAGAAAATTATTGTATTTAACTCCAGTAAATGTTTCTACTTTCTCGGACTGAACCATATTCATTAGCAGGTTAAAATGGACATGCATCACGTCCACAAGAGATCTTAGGTCATATTATCCTGCTAGAATTTGCTCATGGATCTATACTTGGTTTGAACAAAAAATTATATCATCCAAGTGGACATACCGTGAACTTCTGCAGGGACATTTGTGCCTCATTTTCAGTTGATTTCTTTTCATCACCAAAGAATTGGCTTGAAGAAATTGACTTTGCATTTGAGAATTTCTGCCTTGCCTCATTACTTTCCTGAAGTTGGAGACCATAGTAAAAGTATGAAGTATATTTGACAATAAACATAGTGCATCACCAAATGACAATAACAAATTCAAGTGTACGGGTAATATGTAGCAACTTATCATTGCATATCCATAATAAAACTCATATTCCTTTAGCTTAATGTTTGAAATATCATGGTATACCAGATATCCTACCCAGTACATACCGGTCCAACAAAGGACCAATACACGAGTATACCAGGTACCATCCATATTTCAACAGTATGATAATATTTTATTCTTCTGGCATAACAATCAGTGCATTCCAGTTCGGCAGGTTTCTGTATGGGCTAATGTTCGATTCCTTGCTTCAGATAATTATAATTTGGTAAAACTAAGTTAGGGATCATGTTCTAGAAATGTTGCCGCAATCAAAAATTCATTTAAAACGTGTCAATTTGGATATATGTTTTCTCTCCACTATGATTTCCAATGTCACAATGCAGAGAACTCTTCTAAATTCAAATTTAGAAGTGCATTCGATGAATTACAAGAGGAATTGTCTTCTTTAGACCGATGTATCTTCTTTTCTACTTTTCTCATTGTTCTATTTCTTCCACCTAGTCCCGCTAAAGCACCATGGTTCCCGTCTTCCTGACCACATTGAAACTCCTATATTGCCCTACTCATTAGCCTTATTTGTTGTATTTTGCTACTGTTATGAATACATTCGAGCTAAAGATCAGACAATCAAACATAAAGATTAACAGCTAAATTTGATCAACATAAGCCAGAAAATAACAGAACCAAAGATATATAGTCCTCAATTTTTCTGCCTAAATTTCACTCCATCTTCTGCATCCTTTCTTCTTTTCATATTTTTAGCTACTGCAATATCTTCTTTTATCCAGAATTAACAAAATTTTATTTATTCAATTAGGAACATTTAAAGGTAACAGTGAATCCCATGTTGCTCCTGTCACAAAAAATCAGTTCAATCATCAAAAATATCAAAGCCCAGCAGCTGGAATTTATCATTGAATTCTGACAATCAGGCAGAAGGATTGTTGTGCTCTGGTAATATGTCACCAGGGGAACCCAACTGATCACAGTAAAAACACAATTTCAGTCTAACCTAAATTTAAGGGCTCAGGTTCATTAAGGTTTAGCTGCATCTATGCAAGTCCAGATAGATCTGAATTTGAGTTTTATTTGGTTTAATTTAATTTTCCTATTTCCTTTTTTTGCAAAAGAATCACCTTGCACATTTTCTCTATCTTATAGTAGGTTTAAAGTTCTAAATGGATTAGAATATGATTGGTACAACCACAAACCTTACTCCATTAAGCAGCTTTTTAACTTGCCTCTTATTCTAAACTCAAATTTCTGAAACATCAAATGTTCAAAGAAGATAAAGACAATGAGGAAACAAATCTTTATTCAAAGTCCATTTCATGACCAGTGTCTAGATTTGAGTGAATTACCATCATGATAATTAATTCAGAACATTCTACTCTAAAACATAATTTATACACAGAATTCATAACAAGATAAAGAGGACCCACAACAAAGTATATTAACAGAAATATCTTTATAGTACTTTACCTCCACTTTTGAAGAAGTCGAGCTTGACTTTTTCTGAAATCCACTGTCCATTCCAAACTCAGCAAAGAAGCTTGAAGATTTTGGTGGTGCAACATGACTGATCACCTGAGCACCTCCAGAACCACTCTCAATTGGAATGTCATCCATGTACTGAAACCGAGAAGGATATGATGGACCATCTGTTGTCTTAAAGTTATCCGAAGTTGTTGCAGTGGGTGCTGGTTGTTCAGGCTTCTGATCATAGAGATTTTCATTTGGCTGAAATCAAAAGTTACACGAGATTAACATGGTACCACCTATAAGATTGACAAACAGATGTGCATACCACCTTTGTCAAGAAAGCATACCACAGAATAAAAAATGAATAAGAAAGTACATAGATCTAGCATAAGATATGGCGTATGAACATGGATTTAACATTTTAAAACACTGCAACGCCCTGACATACTGGGATATCAGGTGTTATGTATCTGAGGCCTTTTGGAACTACTATTTGGAACCACCCTATCCCTTGTGGACAAAAAGTGATAGATCAAAATTCAGCATCCAAAAAATATATATTTAAATGAATATGTGAATCATCAAATTGGAGACATCTTATGTTTGATTTCCTTAATCAGTGTGGAAACAGCCAAACATATCTTCTTTTTTCTTATATGCTTATACAGAATATGATGGATCAACCGCGATATGCTAAAACCTGACAACAATGCAGTTGATGATTATGATTATCGAACCATCTAAATGCAATCGTACAAGATCACCTTTGTCGTGAGCTTCCGGATGCCAAGCCCACCAGTCTTGCCTCCAGTCTTCTTTGCACCAGTGGATTTTCTAATAGAACTTAAGACAGTAGAATGAATGGGAGCTTTAGGTGAATGTCTGATTTCAGGTTCATGTCTCTCATTCGAGATTTCCTTGGTTGCATCTGCAACCTTAAGCTCAGGAAGTCTGTCAACTGCATCTGATGTATGAGAAGTGGCAACAGGTGATGAAGGCAAAACATTATCTTCTGCAAAGCTTTTAGCAACCTCTTTGGACAGTATCTGCCTATACAACTCAGCTGCTCTAGATGTATACTTTGCCTCAATTTTACCACCATCCGTCCATCCATGCTGCTTAAAGAACACTTGAGCACGATTATTGCCTCCAAAAACCATCACCTTAAGCTGTTCTGGGGTCCATGAGTCCAAATTTGTGGACCTAGAATCCACCAAAATAAACTTCTTAAGATGGCATCACATGTAACGACTTCCCAGTGAAACAATTCAAAATCTGGTTAAGAACTAGATAAAACAGTAAGTCATCCGATACATGAAAAGCCCAAAGTTAAAGTGACATCAACTTATCAGAAGGAAAAAATTGATGAAGGAAAGTGCTAATACATGTCTAGTAACTAATAGAAAAAGCCCAAAGATTTGTCCAACATAAACCACATACCACAGTTATGTCGATCATACAGAAAGAAAGTCTTAATAAAGTCACAAGAGTATTTCTAATCAACAGATTAAGCACAGATTTCAGGTATTACATGAATACTTACAAATAGTCTGTCAGTCATGTCAACAATGGATCAGACAGCCATCGGTTAATATTGCTCAACATTGATTAGATAGTCTTTCTAATGGCATTATTCTAAACAAGTCTGTCTAGTTAGTATTGATCAACACTGGATTTTTCAGGGCCTGAAGTTCAGGCTAGCATCATCAGTTTCTTTTAATTTTATCGATCAAGTTAGCCAAGTTTTAGAGCTAACTAATCCATAATCCATCACATATTTAAGAGAAGACATTGACAGTAACATGGGTTGGAGATCTTCAAAGATTGATGATTAAAATATCCAGAAGAAAAATTCAGCCAACACGTATCTATAGATGAAGGTACTCATTTAGAAAGAATCAATTTGGAATGGACAGATATAATCAAATAACTACCAAGCAAGCATATCTGACCCAGATATTTTCTTTTAACATATTGAGGTTGAGGGTTGCGATGATGGAAGTAATCCAGATCCATTGGATTTGGAATAGTCTAATAGCTAAGCAGATACAGATTATGGAATTGTCATTCAAGCAGAAGCAGCTCATCGAGGAGATTTCATCATCCAAAGCTGTGCTTGAAGCCAAGGATCTAGATTATGTATCTCACACAATTTTTTTTTGCATAAAAAAATATATTTTTTCTTATATTCTGCAACTAGATGTGATTTCTCAGAGGAGATTTGCTATGATGTTCTCTTTGACGATATAGAAAACTATCCTAGAAGCAATACATAATTTGAGTCAGAATAGATCCCACGTGAAACACAATCTCAAGAACTAAAGCACCCAATAAACCTTTAATCAGACATCCAACATTAAACACAATCTCAAGAGTTAAAGCACCCCAAGAAACTTTAAACAGACATGGCTTCAGGCATTTTAGGAGGTTTCGCATAAATATGCTTCTCCGACCATCACCAGATAGATCAAAACCAAAAATAAGAAACAGAACTTCCTGACATCAATATTCTACGATGCAAATCAAAGACAAAGCTTGATTTATTTTCCACAAGGATTTTATAAATTGAAAATATCGTATCTCTATCATACACCATATAAGGACGCTAACTAAAGCTCCAATAATAAAACAATGTTTCGTGATGAAGAACACTGGAGTAGTTCTTGGGTACTTGGTTAGTATTTCATGAAATTGCATTTGCATTATCATAGCAAAACACTAATTAAAGCCTTCAACTTCTCCAAAAAGACAAAAAAGAGAGCGTCCAAACATTACAACAACATGCAGAACGCATTCCACCTTTGGAGTAGAATCAATAATTCTTAAAAATAGATACGAGAAATTGCCCATGATCCCAAAATCGTAAAACGAAAAACCCAAATCACCCAAAGGAAAACGCCACATACCTGACGAAGCTAACATGCACACCAAGGCTGCGATGAACGGCGGAGCAATCAATGCAGAGGAAGATCCCGTACGTCACCGACGCCCACGTGGGGTTCTTCGCGTTGCAATCGAAGCACATCTGCGGGGAAAAAAAGGATCCGCACTCAGAATCGGTCAGATCTGAAGGAACCCATCAGGATCCACACCCTCAGAATCAGATCCCTAAGCACCAACTCATCCCCGAACATAAACAAGCCCTGAAAAGAGGAGGAGGGAGAAGAAGAGGTTCGACGGGGGAATCACCTTGTTTTCCGACTTGGATTTCAGCTTCCTGAAGACGGCGTTCCGATCAGCGACGCTCTCGGAAGCCATGGCGAAAGATTCTTCGACCTCCCTCGTTGGAATCTTCCTCGCTCGAGGAGATTGGGGGCGGGGAGGTACGAAGAAAGGCGACGGCGGCGGTGAGTGAGGAGGCGCGTGTGGGCGAAACGGGAGAATGGGCGTTAGGGGTTCACGTGACGTAACGTCCGTCGGATGACACTTCGCTGTTGCGCTTAACGGGTATGGTTGCAGTTTCACGGTTGGCACCCGACAGTGGCCAAGTGGCACTCGATAGTGGCCAAGTGACACTGTTCGTTCCTTTGGTCGGATTCGGAGTTTGATGAGCAGCGTCCGAACCGAATCACACGATACAGTGATAATTTTGGTTTATATTTTGTTTTTTATAATTTTAATCCGATGATTTTTGGATTAAGGAATATTTTTTTTGTTGGATTATATGGTATAAAAAAAATATGTCAACCATTAATCGAGAACATTTAATATCGATGATTGTCTGATGAGGATAATAATTACGACAAGACTCGGGCTGATGTCAGCTGCCTCATATGACGCCTCACGCCTCGATCGACCCGACAGCACCTGGTCAAACAAACCAGAACGCCGCCCGAGGCACATTAATGTCCTGCTCAGGCTCGGTCCTTCACACCACGCCAACACCAGTGTCGGACATTACGAGGAATACGAGCCTGCCCCCTGCAAGCGGGCACATCAAAAAACAGTAAGTTTCCCTATAAATACCCTCGCATTCTAAACGCCAGGGGGAGGAACTTGGCTGAGGAGGAACGGAGCCAGACAAACCCCCGTTACCATCCACTGACTTGATCGTCGGAGGGGTCGGGTCGAGCACCTCGACCCGACCTTTGTGCAGGTGCGAAGACGGAGGCCTCCCGCTAGACGCCCAGGCGAGGAGCCCCCTCTCGGAGAAAACGGTGACCCCGTCCCGACCGGACCACTGCAGCCGACCACCTCAGCGGTCTCGAGGGTCGTCCCGGGAAGATCCCCCATCGTTCGGACCCGAACTAAGCCACGTCGACCCCGAGGCCACGGCTTAAAGTTGTTTACACCAACAGATTGGCGCTAGAAGGAGGGCCCGAATGTTAAGGGATCGCCCGATCGACTCAGACGAGCTCGCGGCTGAGGGGTCACACCCGACCGGTGCTTCGAGGGAACACCCCGTCGCAACCTCGGAGCGCCATTGGCGGTTATTCAAGGACCCGGGCTGGTCGCCACCCGAAGGAGCCCCAGTTGACCCGTCGCCCGTGTCATCCGAGGCCTTTCAGGACCTCGCTCATCAAGTCCAAGCTCTGACCAGTATGGTGCAGTCCATTATCCTACTTCTGTATCTATACAGCTCGGCCGCAGTCTACTCGAGTCCACCTCAACGCGACTTGCCCGCTTGAGCCGTGTCCCTCAACCGTAGACTACCCGAGTCCACCTCAGTGCGGCTTGCCCGCCTGAGCCGTGTCCCTCGGTCGTAGACTACTCGAGTCCACCTCAGCGCGGCCTGCTCGCCTGAGTCGTGTCCCTCGACTGTAGACTACCCGAGTCCACCTCAACGCGGCCTGCTCGCCTGAGCCGTGACCCTCGGCCGCATGTTGCCCGAGACCGCCTCTGCGCAGCCTACCCGCCTGCATCGTGCTCCTCGGCTCCATGCTCCCCGAGACCACACCTGCGCGGCCAGCCCGCCTGCGTCGTGCTCCTCGGCTCCACGCTCCTCGAGACCATGCTTGTGCGGCCAGCCCGCTTGCATCGTGCTCCTCGGCTCTACGTTCCCCGAGACCACGCCTACGCGGCTAGCTCGCCTGCGTCGTGCTCCTCAGCTCCACGCTCCCCGAGACCACGCCTGCGCGGCCAGCCCGCCTGCGTCGTGCTCCTCGGCTCCTCGACTCCATG